GTGTGTGTGTGCGTGTTGACGCATTTAACAAATTGGCTAAGCAAATTTCCCATTGATTTGCCAAGCACTCAAAATGGCAAAACTAAGAAGGCTGCGAAGGAAATGATTTAGGCCGGCAAATGATTTAGGATAAAATATTTTCCTGTCAAATTCAATCAAGTTGGCAATATGTGAAGTCTGCCTATTGAATTCCCCCAGAATTCCCCCGTATTAATGAGTAGCTCGAAGTGCATAAAATGTTCGCAATTTGCGGCACATTTGGGAAAACAATGCAAAAGGCATTTATTATTGAATCGTTAGGGGGAATTGGGATTGCCGGAATGTACATATGTATGTGTTGGCGATAGGCCTTAATCTACTGCACAATGGAGCATTCGAGTGGGGAGTGGTCGAGCTGTGGAAGAGACAGATAAGTGAATTATACGGTCGGATTAGAAAATCTGATTTAGCCTCTTTAAGGACAGCTGAATCATCTTAATCCCGAGGCCATTCAAATAACCCGCATTGGGATGTTATAAGATTTGAAAGTGCCAATTAAACAACATATTTTTATAATATAATAATAAGTAGGTAATATGTAGATAACATGTAGATAATATGTACCATTAAGAAAACAATAAAGAACAAGAATGACAATTATTGAGGTAATTAAAAGTTTCACACACGACAAAAGAGTTGCACATTGAAAGTCTCAATTTATTGGCATCAATCACGCGACTTTATCGTCTTTCATATTGGTGAAAAAAAAACGACAATTTGAGAAGTACTTATGACAGGCTCAATTTAAGTTGATCTGACCTGTCATCGAACGGATTTCGAACAGCAGTAAGTTAAGACTTTTCACTCATCGAACCTCATCGCAATACGAGTCGGCCTTTAAAGCTCTCCATTAAAATTAATTGTGGTAGAAAGTAAGTCAACGGTTGAGTTGCGTTACCAATTAAGGTTAATTATCGACGACTGCAGCGAACATATCATGTGAGTAATTTCACTTAATTATAATTCATTGGTTTATTGCCTTTAAGGAAGTTTGGTTTGAAATACCTAAAATTGGTCATATGCTATAGAAGGGAAACCTTTAAAATGAAATGATTAAAGTAATAAATTTAAAAATTATAGAGCTCATCTTAAAGTCGGATTTCCTAGTTCATAAGGATTTTTGAAGCCGAAACCCCTTTCTTCACCTGGCGAAAAGGGGGAAATCCCATCTTACTTTTTATTTTAGCATCCAGCAGCCGTCAACAACTGCGACCAATCGCAGCTAATCAAAACCCGGTCGTGACCCGAGGCTCCGTCTAGAAAAAAGGGAAAAGGTTTCACGGCCAACGGGATAGAAGAAGACAAGAAGCAATTAAGGTAGCGACTATAAGATACCCTATTTTAATATAACTTTAAAATGCCTTTAAAGAAACTGAAAAATATTAGGTACAAATTATTTATTAAATATTAAAATTAAAATGTATTATGTTATTGATTTTAAAATTATTTCAATATACCTGATGGGACCTTGCTACCCCGTGTCCGTGTGTTCATGTGCTAGTCATAAATTCAACTTTTGCCGTTTTCTATGCGACGTTTCATTAAAAATTTAGCTCGAGCCACCTTTGTGAGGAGTTCGCATATCGCACAACCCACATTACCATCTTCCCATCTAGCCGGGACTTTTGGAGGCTGTAAAGTGCGTTTGTTGGCGTTACTTTATGGCCGGAGCGCATGTAAACACGTGGCCACGTGGCGATGGGGCTACTTGGCAATCCGGAGGAGTCCACGGATAAGGGATGTGGGATGAACGAGACGAAGACGGAGATGAAGATGGGTCGGGGGGAGTGGGTGTTGTCCCAGCTGCTCCACAACACCAACACGTAATGATTGTCCTTGTGACATACACAAAAAGAAAATAGCATGTCTAATAGAGTTCGATAATTATCGATATCTTCATAAATTCTTTATCGATATTTTCGATTATTAATGTTTTTTCTCCTTGAAAACATCAAAATAATCGGAGAGCTATTTTGAAAATATCGAAAATATTGATAATTTTCTAAATTTATTGGACATGATATTTTCTCTATATTATTATGAAGAAATTTGCAAGCTTAACTTTTTTCAAGCCCATGAAATCGTATTTTAGTGAATATATATATTTTTTGCTGAATTTTAATGTTATTTTTTCGGCAGTGCCGAGGCAAACACACCAAGACCAAGGCCCGCATAAAATTCATGCCCTTCGACAACTGCGCCTCATACATTTTTATGACTCGCAGTCATATTTATAGAGTCTCTGGGAATCTGCTGCCACTTAGCGTCCTGTAGCCAGGTCTCCTGTCTCCTGGCTCAGTCAATGCATAAAGTCTGCCATCAGGCTAAATTAGGCAAAGGATGTAGATGGGCACATAGATAGATAGATGGGCATCACCTCGAATCAAGGACGTTGGAGGACTTGTCGAAGGACTGCATTAATTATTCTTATTTATTTAATGCCATTTGTTCATTGTCCGGTTGTCGGGGACTTTTTTTCCCGGGTCATTATCGTTGGTTTCCTGGCTTCCACATCCACATCGTCATCGGCTCAATTGAATTAATGCGCCCAATTGCATATGGAAATGCCGTAAGAATGTATGGCTGTTTGCTGTCGACATTAAGCGGCAACGTAAAGTGATTACGTTATGATGTGCGCGGCTTAAGGAAGGCAAAAAAAGTAAGAGAACAAAAAGGACACTATTTACACCATGCAATCAGGATGAGCTCAAGTCAACTGACTTACGTTAAACACTTGACATTTGTGGCGAAATAAAAGTCATGAGGCGAATAAGAAGGCAGTAAAACGGGGGTCCAAAGAGGACTTAAAATGGAATTGATCTATAAGAAATTCCTTGAAATATTCCTTACGATATTTGTACTCGTAATATACTGTGCTTGTGGCAAGTTAATTTTTCCAATTTTTGGCAAACAATTTGACAAAGCTATAAAAAATGCAAAAATCGGCGAAAAAATAAATTTCCCTGAAAGTGATGGCGATCGTTAGTTTAGGTTGTAAGCTGCTCAAAACAGTCGCTCTTTTCTCTTGATTTGTTTTCTCCTTGATTTGTCAAAATTACTACCGAAAAACCAGAAAAAAAACCGCTTATTTCGGTCTAAAATTCAAATCCATATTTTCTACCCTAAAATATCAGTCTTTTGGTCGTAACAATGGAAATAATGATCCAAATATGGAATGTCGTACCTTGTTGAACTCGTTATTTAATTCCCTAACCATTGGCATTTAAACCTAGAAACTTTGAATTTTTGGCATTTTTCGCCAAAAATTATGATGTAACCCCTTATAAAAAATGCAAAAATCGGCCAAAAAATAAATTTCTCTGAAAGTGATGGCGATCGTTAGTTTAGGTTGTAAGCTGCTCAAAACAGTCGCTCTTTTCTCTGTGGGCCTTGATTTGTTAAAATTACGACCGAAAAACCAGAAAAAAAACCGCTTATTTCGGTCTAAAATTCAAATCCATATTTTCTACCCTAAAATATCAGTCTTTTGGTCGTAACAATGGAAATAATGATCCAAATATGGAATGTCGTACCTTGTTGAACTCGTTATTTAATTCCCTAACCATTGGCATTTAAACCTAAAAACTTTTAATTTTTGGCATTTTTCGCAAAAAATTGTGATGAAACCCCTTATAAAAATGCAAAAATCGGCCAAAAAATTAATTTCCCAGAAAGTGATGGGGATCGTTAGTTTAAGTTGTTAGCTGCTCAAAACAGTCATTCTTTTAGCTGTGGGCCTTGGTTTGTCTAAATTACGACTGAAAAAACGCAGAAAAAAGGGTTTTTTCGTCGAAAATTCGAATCCAAGTTACGACTATTATTTGGTCATAACTTTTTAATGAACTGTCCAATTTCAAATTTTTCTCCTACATTTCGATAGGTATTAATAAGCACAAAAAACGGAATTTACACATTTACAGAAATGTACTTAACATTCAAGAGATTTGTTTTGATTTTCTTTAATTTCAGCTTATGGCGATTAAATAAGCCATGAAAGTCACATAGTTTGCATTACGTTGAGCCAATGATTGTGCAGATTCTATCTTTGAATTTTCACCCACAAGCCAAATACCCTTTGCTCCAGTTCGAAGCCGTGCAAATCGCCTAAGCCAAACACGCTTCTTTTGCTCGAATGCGGCAAAGACAAAAGCCAACCGAAGGGAAAGCCGGAAAAAAGAAAGGAAAAATAACAAAAGGAAAGGAGCATAAATAAGGGGAATATGTGAAATACAAAATACCAGCGATATTTCAAAAACCCAACCGCATACGTGAGAAAGCAAGCGGTTGTTCGGGGGGAGAGGGGATAAGGGAAAGGGAAAAGCAGGAAAAGCAGGCGGAAAATATATAAATCGAGCAACGAAATCTCAGCCATTATTTGGCATTATTGAAGTAAACGAATTTCAAAATGCAAGCCATTCGAATTTCGGAGCAAGGCAAATGTCTTTAAAATCGGCCAATTTGGGAACGAGATTAAAAGGAAGTCGGCAGACAGAGGGCCAAAATGGCCAGGATGGCCCGAAACGGAGTTCGGAGTTCGGAGGATACGGATACGCTGCACGTCCTTGGGCAGTGTCAATAAAGCGCAACAAAGAGCTCGGCCAAGAGCAAGTCGTGTCAATATTTTGACTGTGTTTTAGCCTTGGCTGCCGTGTCTTTGTATCGGAATTGGTGCACTGACAGAAAACTGGCCCTACTGTCAGTCTCGAGTTTTAAATCGATAATAATCCACAGATTTTTGAAATAATATTGATATATAATTTTTGTAATATTACAAAAATGCTTTACTTTACTTGATAATAATTACAAATAATAAGAAATTATGTATTTATTTATTCAAGATTTTAGGCTTTGATAAATTCATAAATTCAAAATTATTTAGATGTAAAAAAATAAATTAAGATGATTTAAATGAAATTAAAATAATATTTTAATATTTTTTTGTATTATTATTAGGGATCTTAGAATTTTCTTCTTTCTTTTATTAAAATAGATTAAAAATGATAATAAGCGTTGAATGATTTAAATGATACCGAACATATGAAGTATTTTAGGGTGAAATGCCATTACATTTTGGGTTTTCTGCCGCAGTGCATCTGTGTGTCTTGGGAGCTGGTAGCTCTGGTGGTCCTCCGACTGCCATCCCTCTCCTCCAGTGGAGAGGTGGCCATGCGCGTCCAGCGTTGGGAATATTGATGCCCCTGGAGCGTGCCGCTGGGAATGCCATGTGCCAGTTGACCATGTCGCAACCGAAAAAAAAAAAAAACAAAAATGGAGGGAAATGAAAAAGAAAAGCAAGAAAAGGGGGGAGGAAACTAGAAACTAGGCGGCAGTCGGCGCATGTTAAACACACTGGCGAGCGAAGAGAGTGGATGGACTCCAAGCAAAGGACTCGTCGCTGGCCAGGGGCCAGGATCCATCTTCCATCTTCCATAAATTAGCGGCAGGCTCTCGACTCTCGACTCTCGGCTCTCGGTTCTCCTACGCGCTTACTTGGCCAAAAGTTCTGCGGCCGGGCTGCTGCCTCATATTGCGGCACGCAGTTTATCATTGTGTCGGGTCAGCGTTTGACCCCTGACCCCCTCCTCGATCTCCTGCCCCTAACCGTAACGTAACGTAACCCACAAGCGGCCGTTGCACATCACGTGACTTGCCAGCCAAATGAAATTCTTGGCGGCGCCACATGGCGCAAAACGCTTCCGTAATTGAGTTGCCTTCGCGTGTGCATGTAATTACTTCAATATTCCTCTGTCTTGAAGAAGGAAAAACCTATATAAATAAATAAAATAGTTGTGATAATAAGCATAACTTATAATAAAGGTTATTCGACTTAAGTAGTATAAGCTTAAGAAATAAATAAAATAATTGACATAATAAAAATAATACACAGAAAAAATTCGCATTGTAAAAATAAATACCTGACACCTAGATAATTAAATTAATTGAAAAAAATCAATTATTTAATATACAAAATATTTAAATGCATAATTTTATTGGAAAATATTTGAATAAAGGTAAATAGAATTATTGGCAATGATAGTCAAATTTACTTTAAATATTTTAAGTCATTAAAATTTTTGTATTAAAATAAAATAATTAAAAATGTATTGTTATCTTACCAATAAAATGAAATAAGCTGACAGGGATATTCTTATCTTTTTTAGCCGAAAAAAACAAATTTAGCTGCCAAATCTAAGATCAAAAATTATTATTAGCTAATTCAGAATTACATCTACTAAATATTTACCTTAATGGATAAATTTTGATGCCAAAAAATTATATTCTAAGTTCACCTCTACTTCTTAGGATTCCTTTCCACTTTTCTTTTTAGTCCTCTTGGTGAATTCGGTGATTCCTCTGGTTTTATCTCAACTTCGAATGAATAATTAAATTTCTGACGTTTCAAGGGCGGTTGCTGCATAATATCATTGTCTGTGTCTGGCAATCTGTTGCGCTTCTGAGCCTTTGTTAACTGAGAAGAATCCATATCGATAGATCAATAGAAATCAGCCTCTTTGAGAAAATGTTACGGTGGGCAAATATATAGATAGGTTCAGTATGTTTGAATAACCCGGGGCTAATGTAAAAGTCTGTAAATATCCATATAATCAACTAAATCAAGGCCTGCTTATTTATTTACACGTAGTTGATAATCAAACCGCAACGTGGTCCCTGCTGGATTTTCGACTCCCCGAAAAAAAATACCATCCTCCCGATATTAGTTTTTAATTATGCCACATTTGATTGCATTAACTTGCCCACGCAGTTGTTTACGCAAATAAATACATACGTAAAATAATAAAAAAAAACAAAATAAAAAAAAAAGAGCCGAGTACCTCGACTATCAGATACCCGTTAGTCAGCGAGAACTGCTTGCACTGCTTGCATGTGCGCAGCCCAATGGCTATTCCATTATTTGCTCTCAACTTTTGAGTGAATGGTGCGATTTGAATAATTTTTGTACATGTCGCTAGATAATAGAGTCGGTAAGGTTTCCATACTTTCCGCTGAATGCAATATACCTTTTTGCTCAACGACTAACGGGTACAAAAAAAGGCAGTCAGGCTGATGTGAGACGTGAAAGTGCTGCAAAATGCAATGAAATAAATAATAACCACAAAAATGCAATTTAATACAAATCTAATTCGAGCACATCAAACTGGCCAGCTGTCCGTGTGTAAAACCCCCCTCAATCTACGCGAAATCCCGACCGTTCATGGCGATTTTTAATTGAAAGCGCGACTTTTGGGCTTTCGACCAAACACACACACACCCACGCAAACGCAGACAGCAGCATTGGCAACAGCAGCTGCATAAATTTCATTAGTAAACTTTTAATTAGAAAAATTTCAGCATGAATTTAATTAGTGCAGATACACACATACACACACATGGTTCGAGAGAGACAAAGCCGAAAATTAAATTTAATAAAATGAAATGAAAATGAAAATGAAATGCAGCTAGCCCACTGCCAACACCTGACAACTGGCTGACAATAGTAATGGCGACGGACAGCCACGTTTTTTTGGGGGACGGGTGGAAAGCGGTGAAAAGCGGGAAAAAGCCAACAAACCGCTTTTGGAAAAATAATTCAAATATTACCAGAGCCAAGATACAAGCCAAAAAGCAAAAATATTATTTTTAAGTAATATAACTCAATTAAAATAATGGATAATCTAAATTATAAAACTAAAGTTATAGTTTTCCTTTGATTTTTTAAGTCTTCTATTTTTCTGTTAACATTTTTTTTTTGATTTTAAATTGATTTAATTGAACCTTTTAGAATTGAATCAATAAAAATCGAAACAGCTCTTTACTGAAGTTCACGATTCCTGATCCGAAAATTGGATTGTATCTTTAGCTATTTGAAACTTGGTATATTTTAAGTAAATTTTATTTCTGAAAATTATATCTTAGGAAACAATTACATCTAGAATTTTTAAAGATTTCAATTTCTTTAATTTTTAAGGAGTTTATTTTTAGCTATATTTAATATTAAATATTTTTAAAATACAAGCAAACATTTAATTTTGACCACAATTTTAAAAGGCAAAAAGTTTACTGAAAAGAGCATCTTCTGAAAACAAATCTAAAAAAAACGAAAGTTTTTGATAATTCCCCTTAATTAAAACGGTAACTACCAGAAGGTAAACAAAGCACACACAGATACACAGATGAAAGGGAGTGAAGTTCGGTGGATTTAGGGAAGCTGCATCGTGTAATTATGTCTTGGCAGATTCGACCAACTAATTGCCAAGGTAACAACAGCCCAGCAGCCCAACAACCCACGACACGAAGTCGCCATCGAGCGTCACGTTCTGTTGCCAGCAATTATGTGGCCAACACAAGCACACAACACAATCACTCGGACACAAAGAGATAACCGGGATACACTGGGCGAAATATGCTAATTATGATGGAAGCCTTCATCGCCGGACATTAGAAGGCCACCCAGAGAGGCTGTGACGCAGCGATTATGGACAAGTTATCTTGAGGCATTCAGAACTCGAAACACTTCAGAAAATTTCATTTAAACCTTAAGAAGAGCTTAAAAAATATTTTGTAATAACAACTACCTATTTGAGAATTAGGTCGTGCATTTTTATAGGTATTCCATTTTAAAATAGAAATCCAATAAATAAAGTTATAAGCTGTAGAAATGCAGTTCTGGGTCCCCTTTCTAAAACCCATTTAAATCTTAAGAATAGCTAAAGTTTCGTAATGACGTAACTATTTAAGAATTAAATTTTAATCAAATTTGTATAGGTACATTTAAAATAAAAATCCGATTTATATCATTATATTATATTTTTGGAAAAATAAATTAAAAATACTCTAAGAATTAGATATTTTTTTAACCCATCAGAAATGACAAGCAAGGAAAAAGATAATAAGTATTTTGATCCCCTTTCTTGGACAAACTTTAAAAGGTGTTTATGCACTTCCGCCACAAACATTTGGCGACATTTCCATGGATCTCTGGTATTCTGGCATTCCAATATTCCAATACGATTATCACCGACCCCCGAGGTCAGGTGGCGTCACGCTTAACGTGATGTACACTGCCGCAATTGGTGTAATTACAGAATGAGGAAGTGCAGCGGTCGATGGGCAGCCATATAGACATGTGCCATATGCTAATTATGCTGCCAATCATAACGAAAAGTGGGGGGTTACCCCTCGCCAAATGTATTTTCGTACTCATTTTCAGAGTAATTTATGTTTAGTCGCTGCTAAAATTTATTGTTTTTATTTAACAACTGCAGCATCGTTGACGTCGCCGGCAATTAATCGCTGCGTGATTAATCATTTTCTATGCAAATTATACGATATATTCTCGTTCTCGTCCCTTTCCAAAACACGCAAACTTCTCCAACTTTAACTTTGGCTTTGAATTTGACTGATCTATCTGATGACTGCCAAGAGATCTTTAATTACAACAGCAGTCAAGTTAAATACGAGTACAGGTCTGGTCGGTCGGTGGAGATCGTATAGCCCAGGCACATATAACAACTATTGTGGTTGCGGCTCGATTGCCGCGCACAAATCATTCATAATCCCATAACTTGCTAATCATATATGCGGGCGAGCTTTAATTGAGTCAGCCAATAAAACCCAAGACATATTGAATGGGAATTGTAAGTGGGACTGTAATTGAAATACCAATTTGCCCCCGAGTGTGACGCATAAATTTTAAGAACAAGTGAGTAATGGGAAAATGGATCGGTTAATATTTATGATTATTGCGATTAATAAATACATTTAATTTCTATGTAACTATATTGCTTTTATTATTTATATAATAACTATACCTACAATGCTCAAATATAAAACTAAATTTAAGATTTAAATTTTTTTAATGGGACCTTTTTTTTAAATTTATTTAATAAAAAAGTCAATGATCGCATCGGATGAGCCGATCTTCTTAAAGAAACTCTATGATGTGATACAGCCAATAAAGCGAAACAATCAGCCACATCGTAATTGGCCAATAAAAGAAGAAGCGAAATCTAGATTTTGGGTTGGTATTTTGGTACGAAGAGTCAAATACCCTGGTAGATTCCAGCGAAAAGAGTCATTAAAAAAATAAGAGAGTAAAAGAGATTTCTTTATTTTACGATCCCATACTTTGGCACGTACCAAATGAAATAGAACAGCATATATTAAATACTCTTTATTTTTTATAAAGTTGTTTTAGAAGTAGGTAACTCCTATCTTTTCACTGGAAAATTAAAGAAATCCAAAAATTCTAGATATAAATTTTTACTGTTGTAAATGGGCAAACATTTAAACCAAAAAGTCATAAAACCACCGAATTAAAAATAGAATTGACCCAGACTCGAATCCAGAATCAATAAACGCCTCGATCCATTCTTTTTTTACTATTTCGGGGATGGCCATTCGACGTCATAATCATGGGTTGTTATTTTTGTTGTTTGGTTGTTCGGTTTTTTGCATATTTCAGTTTTCAGTGCGAAGCTTGAGCTGTCGAAGCATTGTTATTTTAATTAACGCCGATTAGGTGTGAGGCACGTTTCTGTCGACGTTTCTTTAATTTCTGTATTTTTCTGCGTTCTTTACATTTTTTTTGTATTTCTTTTTTTGGGTTTACGACGGCTAGTGTTTTGTTAACGGCTCTCTTGGCCAGGTTAGTAGTTTTGTAAAGCCAATAATAATAATTCCCCCACTCGGCAGCTCAGCTACTCAGCTACTTATCGGCAATTGCCTTGAAGCGAGCATTTTTCCCACACTTGCCGGCGGTAACTGATTATACCACTTACACGGGGGCTAGACCCAGACTTCGACTTACACTTAGACTTGCCGCCCGGAGCGATGAGCCGACGTCAAACCGGTTCGGCACGGATGATCGCCTCGAATCGGTTCGGTTCGGTGATAATATAGGGGTGATATAGGGGTAATCAAATGGTGCAGTGCCGGAAGCTGAAAGACGAGGGATGAACACAGGGTGGCCAATTCACGAACGACTTTCAAGCTGTACTTGGCAAAAAAACAAGGAAGAGCTTTAAATAATCTAAATTTAAATAACCAGAAAGTATTTATTATAGCACAAAGAAATTTTATAATTATTTATGGAATTTTATAACATAAGTCAACTTTAAATTGATATTGTTTTTAAGTTGCTTTCGAATTTCATACATTTTCAAAAATTAGAATCTAAAGAACTTTAAATTAGCTAAATTCAAATAACCAGGCAATAATTAGGTACTTCATCGATTTTTTGAAACATAAGTTTCAAAATGTAAATTTTTTTTTTATTTTATATTATTTCCCTGACCTTTTCGAAATGAACAGAGAATTTAAATTTTAATTTTCACCTAATCAAAACATGAATACTATTAACACTATGATTAAGATAATATTTTAAGACTGTCCAGATCCGATGTCCTCATATTAAAGCTCCCACTAATTCCCATGGCTAATTTCTTTCTAATGAGAACCAGTTTGTGGAGCCCGCAGCGCAGCGCAGCCCAACCCTAAGATGTGGGGAAAACAGCGACGTCGATGGTTTAAACCCATTCATAAACCCAAAGTGCCGCTCGACCTCCGATCAGTAGCGTGTTGACCGTCGACCGTCGAGATGCCGTCGAGATTGTTGAGCAAGTGCAGCAGCAGCGTCGCCGCCGCCGCAGTGCTCCTTTTTTTGATTTTCAATGGCCAAAATGGATTGACGGGAGCTGTGACCACCAGGGCGCCTCCACCTACCCGAGCTCCACCACCCACTAGGGATCCTCCACCCACCAGAGCTCCACCACCCACTCGAGCTCCTCCACCGACTCGAGCTCCACCGCCGTTCACCAGGATTCCGCGGCAATCCGCGACGGATGGCTATTGTGTGCCCTCACTTTGTGAGCTCTACAATGGAACGCATGTGGTGAATGTGCCCCATACCGCTTGCGGCAACAACGGTAGCTTTTCCCCAGCCTGCGGACCGGAACCCAAGCTACTGGAGATGAGCGAAAGGCGACGTCAGCTCCTGCTCGATATGCACAATTTGGCCAGATCAAAGATCGCCAGCGGTCAACTGGAAGGCTATCGGAGCGCCGCCCAAATGCCCCTCCTCCGTTGGGACAACGAACTGGAGCAAATGGCCGGGCTGCATGCCAAACGCTGTCAGTTTGCCCACGACAAGTGCCGCAATACGCCGCGCTTCCGGTTCAGCGGCCAGAATATCGGTTACTTTTGGATCGGTCGCGAGTTCAAGTCGCATTCGCGGCGCATGAAATCCTTTGTGATTAACTGGTTCCGCGAGTATCTGGATGCCAACCAGAGCTTCATCGACAGCTATCGTCCGCATCCGCAGGGGTAAGTAGATAGAACACTTTTTGAATACCACATTTCCTTTACTTTTACTTCCTATCAACATCACAAAACATAAAAGCAAGGAAGTCTTATTAAAATCGCTTACATAGTAGATTTGATTGTAGGGAAGAATTTTACAAATTTGTTGCTGCCTTCTTGAATACCACATTTCCTTTTATTTTTTTAACCGAGTGTTGGGGTTGGTTAATCCAATTATTTTTAAACATGTACATCAAATAGCAAAGAATACTTAATTTTCAAAGTTTTGTTGAAAAAGTTGTCTTTATTTAGTTCAAACATTCATTCCAATATTTTTCTCTGCAGCAAGAAGATTGGTCACTTCACCCTTTTGGTCTCCGATCGCGTGAGTCGCGTGGGCTGCGCCGGCATCCGCTTCCTGGAGCCCACTACCAATCGCTACCAGTTCATGCTGACTTGTAATTATGACTACAACAACATATTCAACGAACCCATTTACCAGTCTGGTCCGGCGGGTTCCAAATGCGTTCAGCACCGGATCAGCGAGAAGTTCCCCGGTTTATGCGACTGGCGCGACCCCATCGGCGACGCTGAAAGCGAGGAGAGCGCCGAGGATGGCAACACCCTGGATAATAATATACCCCTGTAAAGGAATACAAACCCTAAGATAAGGACAAAATACTCGTACCACCTGGAATAAGATATACAAAGCATAATTTTTTTCATAGTTTTTAAGTAAATATATTAAAATCTTTTAAAAAGAATGGATTGTTATTGTGTTAACTATTGTTGACTGTTTTTTTAAATACAAATTTACATTGATTACGGTTTAAACGAGCTTATTGCTAATGGTGTTTCGAGTCTTCTACAATACTTAAGACACGGTTGTTAATGTTGCACCAGTTATCACATCAAAGATATTGAACGGAGGCAGTGATGCGGTGGTCGAAATAGCCTCTGTGGTTGCCTTCTCTGAAGTTGTCTTCACGGTTGTCGTCTTATGAGAAGTGTGCTTAGTCGTTTTCAGAGTTGTCGGCCTGGCCGTTGTTCCCTCAGTGGGCTTCAGAGTTGTTGGCTTGGCCGTTGTTCCCTCAGTGGGCTTCAGAGTTGTTGGTTTGGCCGTAGTCTTCTCCGTTGTTCCCTCAGTGGGCTTCAGAGTTGTTGGCTTGGCCGTTGTTCCCTCAGTGGGCTTCAGAGTTGTTGGTTTGGCCGTAGTCTTCTCCGTTGTTCCCTCAGTGGGCTTCAGAGTTGTTGGCTTGGCCGTTGTTCCCTCAGTGGGCTTCAGAGTTGTTGGCTTGGCCGTCGTTCCCTCAGTGGGCTTCAGAGTTGTTGGTTTGGCCGTAGTCTTCTCCGTTGTTCCCTCAGTGGGCTTCAGAGTCGTTGGCTTGGCCGTTGTTCCCTCAGTGGGCTTCAGAGTTGTTGGCTTGGCCGTTGTTCCCTCAGTGGGCTTCAGAGTTGTTGGTTTGGCCGTAGTCTTCTCCGTTGTTCCCTCAGTGGGCTTCAGAGTCGTTGGCTTGGCCGTTGTTCCCTCAGTGGGCTTCAGAGTTGTTGGCTTGGCCGTTGTTCCCTCAGTGGGCTTCAGAGTTGTTCGCTTGGCCGTCGTTCCCTCAGTGGGCTTCAGAGTTGTTGGTTTGGCCGTAGTCTTCTCCGTTGTTCCCTCAGTGGGCTTCAGAGTCGTTGGCTTGGCCGTTGTTCCCTCAGTGGGCTTCAGAGTTGTTGGCTTGGCCGTTGTTCCCTCAGTGGGCTTCAGAGTTGTTGGCTTGGCCGTTGTTCCCTCAGTAGGCTTCAGAGTTGTTGGTTTGGCCGTAGTCTTCTCCGTTGTTCCCTCAGTGGGCTTCAGAGTTGTTGGTTTGGCCGTAGTCTTCTCCGTTGTTCCCTCAGTGGGCTTCAGAGTTGTTGGCTTGGCCGTTGTTCCCTCAGTGGGCTTCAGAGTTGTTGGTTTGGCCGTAGTCTTCTCCGTTGTTCCCTCAGTGGGCTTCAGAGTTGTTGGCTTGGCCGTTGTTCCCTCAGTGGGCTTCAGAGTTGTCGGCTTGGCCGTTGTTCCCTCAGTGGGCTTCAGAGTTGTTGGTTTGGCCGTAGTCTTCTCCGTTGTTCCCTCAGTGGGCTTCAGAGTTGTTGGCTTGGCCGTTGTTCCCTCAGTGGGCTTCAGAGTTGTTGGCTTGGCCGTTGTTCCCTCAGTGGGCTTCAGAGTTGTTGGTTTGGCCGTAGTCTTCTCCGTTGTTCCCTCAGTGGGCTTCAGAGTTGTTGGCTTGGCCGTTGTTCCCTCAGTGGGCTTCAGAGTTGTTGGTTTGGCCGTAGTCTTCTCCGTTGTTCCCTCAGTGGGCTTCAGAGTCGTTGGCTTGGCCGTTGTTCCCTCAGTAGGCTTCAGAGTTGTTGGCTTGGCCGTTGTTCCCTCAGTGGGCCTCAGAGTTGTTGGCTTGGCCGTTGTTCCCTCAGTGGGCTTCAGAGTTGTTGGTTTGGCCGTAGTCTTCTCCGTTGTTCTCTCAGTGGGCTTCAGAGTCGTTGGCTTGGCCGTTGTTCCCTCAGTGGGCTTCAGAGTTGTTGGTTTGGCCGTAGTCTTCTCCGTTGTTCCCTCAGTGGGCTTCAGAGTTGTTGGCTTGGCCGTTGTTCCCTCAGTGGGCTTCAGAGTTGTTGGCTTGGCCGTTGTTCCCTCAGTGGGCTTCAGAGTTGTTGGCTTGGCCGTTGTTCCCTCAGTGGGCTTCAGAGTTGTTGGCTTGGCCGTTGTTCCCTCAGTGGGCTTCAGAGTTGTTGGCTTGGCCGTTGTTCCCTCAGTGGGCTTCAGAGTTGTTGGTTTGGCCGTAGTCTTCTCCGTTGTTCCCTCAGTGGGCTTCAGAGTTGTTGGCTTGGCCGTTGTTCCCTCAGTGGGCTTCAGAGTTGTTGGTTTGGCCGTAGTCTTCTCCGTTGTTCCCTCAGTGGGCTTCAGAGTTGTTGGCTTGGCCGTTGTTCCCTCAGTGGGCTTCAGAGTTGTTGGTTTGGCCGTAGTCTCCTCCGTTGTTCCCTCAGTGGGCTTCAGAGTCGTTGGCTTGGCCGTTGTTCCCTCAGTGGGCTTCAGAGTTGTTGGTTTGGCCGTAGTCTTCTCCGTTGTTCCCTCAGTGGGCTTCAGAGTTGTTGGCTTGGCCGTTGTTCCCTCAGTGGGCTTTAGAGTTGTTGGTTTGGCCGTAGTCTTCTCCGTTGTTCCCTCAGTGGGCTTCAGAGTTGTTGGCTTGGCCGTTGTTCCCTCAGTGGGCTTCAGAGTTGTTGGTTTGGCCGTAGTCTTCTCCGTTGTTCCCTCAGTGGGCTTCAGAGTTGTTGGCTTGGCCGTTGTTCCCTCAGTGGGCTTCAGAGTTGTTGGCTTGGCCGTTGTTCCCTCAGTGGGCTTCAGAGTTGTTGGTTTGGCCGTAGTCTTCTCCGTTGTTCCCTCAGTGGGCTTCAGAGTTGTTGGCTTGGCCGTTGTTCCCTCAGTGGGCTTCAGAGTTGTTGGTTTGGCCGTAGTCTTCTCCGTTGTTCCCTCAGTGGGCTTCAGAGTTGTTGGCTTGGCCGTTGTTCCCTCAGTGGGCTTCAGAGTTGTTGGTTTGGCCGTAGTCTCCTCCGTTGTTCCCTCAGTGGGCTTCAGAGTCGTTGGCTTGGCCGTTGTTCCCTCAGTGGGCTTCAGAGTTGTTGGTTTGGCCGTAGTCTTCTCCGTTGTTCCCTCAGTGGGCTTCAGAGTTGTTGGCTTGGCCGTTGTTCCCTCAGTGGGCTTTAGAGTTGTTGGCTTGGCCGTTGTTCCCTCAGTGGGCTTCAGAGTTGTTGGCTTGGCCGTCGTTCCCTCAGTGGGCTTCAGAGTTGTTGGTTTGGCCGTAGTCTTCTCCGTTGTTCCCTCAGTGGGCTTCAGAGTTGTTGGCTTGGCCGTTGTTCCCTCAGTGGGCTTCAGAGTTGTTGGTTTGGCCGTAGTCTTCTCCGTTGTTCCCTCAGTGGGCTTCAGAGTTGTTGGCTTGGCCGTTGTTCCCTCAGTGGGCTTCAGAGTTGTTGGCTTGGCCGTTGTTCCCTCAGTGGGCTTCAGAGTTGTTGGTTTGGCCGTAGTCTTCTCCGTTGTTCCCTCAGTGGGCTTCAGAGTTGTTGGTTTGGCCGTAGTCTTCTCCGTTGTTCCCTCAGTGGGCTTCAGAGTTGTTGGCTTGGCCGTTGTTCCCTCAGTGGGCTTCAGAGTTGTTGGTTTGGCCGTAGTCTTCTCCGTTGTTCCCTCAGTGGGCTTCAGAGTTGTTGGCTTGGCCGTTGTTCCCTCAGTGGGCTTCAGAGTTGTCGGCTTGGCCGTTGTTCCCTCAGTGGGCTTCAGAGTTGTTGGTTTGGCCGTAGTCTTCTCCGTTGTTCCCTCAGTGGGCTTCAGAGTTGTTGGCTTGGCCGTTGTTCCCTCAGTGGGCTTCAGAGTTGTTGGCTTGGCCGTTGTTCCCTCAGTGGGCTTCAGAGTTGTTGGTTTGGCCGTAGTCTTCTCCGTTGTTCCCTCAGTGGGCTTCAGAGTTGTTGGCTTGGCCGTTGTTCCCTCAGTGGGCTTCAGAGTTGTTTGTTTGGCCGTAGTCTTCTCCGTTGTTCCGTCAGTGGGCTTCACAGTTGTTGGCTTGGCCGTTGTTCCCTCAGTGGGCTTCAGAGTTGTTGGTTTGGCCGTAGTCTTCTCCGTTGTTCCCTCAGTGGGCTTCAGAGTTGTTGGCTTGGCCGTTGTTCCCTCAGTGGGCTTCAGAGTTGTTGGCTTGGCCGTTGTTCCCTCAGTGGGCTTCAGAGTTGTTGGTTTGGCCGTAGTCTTCTCCGTTGTTCCCTCAGTGGGCTTCAGAGTTGTTGGCTTGGCCGTTGTTCCCTCAGTGGGCTTCAGAGTTGTTGGCTTGGCCGTAGTCTTCTCCGTTGTTCCCTCAGTGGGCTTCAGAGTTGTTGGCTTGGCCGTTGTTCCCTCAGTGGGCTTCAGAGTTGTTGGTTTGGCCGTCGTTCCCTCAGTGGGCTTCAGAGTTGTTGGTTTGGCCGTAGTCTTCTCCGTTGTTCCCTCAGTGGGCTTCAGAGTCGTTGGCTTGGCCGTTGTTCCCTCAGTGGGCTTCAGAGTTGTTGGCTTGGCCGTTGTTCCCTCAGTGGGCTTCAGAGTTGTTGGCTTGGCCGTTGTTCCCTCAGTGGGCTTCAGAGTTGTTGGTTTGGCCGTAGTCTTCTCCGTTGTTCCCTCAGTGGGCTTCAGAGTCGTTGGCTTGGCCGTTGTTCCCTCAGTGGGCTTCAGAGTTGTTGGTTTGGCCGTAGTCTTCTCCGTTGTTCCCTCAGTGGGCTTCAGAGTTGTTGGCTTGGCCGTTGTTCCCTCAGTGGGCTTCAGAGTTGTTGGTTTGGCCGTAGTCTTCTCCGTTGTTCCCTCAGTGGGCTTCAGAGTTGTTGGCTTGGCCGTTGTTCCCTCAGTGGGCTTCAGAGTTGTTGGCTTGGCCGTAGTCTTCTCCGTTGTTCCCTCAGTGGGCTTCAGAGTTGTTGGCTTGGCCGTTGTTCCCTCAGTGGGCTTCAGAGTTGTTGGCTTGGCCGTCGTTCCCTCAGTGGGCTTCAGAGTTGTTGGTTTGGCCGTAGTCTTCTCCGTTGTTCCCTCAGTGGGCTTCAGAGTCGTTGGCTTGGCCGTTGTTCCCTCAGTGGGCTTCAGAGTTGTTGGCTTGGCCGTTGTTCCTTCAGTGGGCTTCAGAGTTGTTGGCTTGGCCGTTGTTCCCTCAGTGGGCTTCAGAGTTGTTGGCTTGGCCGTTGTTCCCTCAGTGGGCTTCAGAGTTGTTGGCTTGGCCGTAGTCTTCTCCGTTGTTCCCTCAGTGGGCTTCAGAGTTGTTGGCTTGGCCGTTGTTCCCTCAGTGGGCTTCAGAGTTGTTGGTTTGGCCGTCGTTCCCTCAGTGGGCTTCAGAGTTGTTGGTTTGGCCGTAGTCTTCTCCGTTGTTCCCTCAGTGGGCTTCAGAGTCGTTGGCTTGGCCGTTGTTCCCTCAGTGGGCTTCAGAGTTGTTGGCTTGGCCGTTGTTCCCTCAGTGGGCTTCAGAGTTGTTGGCTTGGCCGTTGTTCCCTCAGTGGGCTTCAGAGTTGTTGGCTTGGCCGTTGTTCCCTCAGTGGGCTTCAGAGTTGTTGGCTTGGCCGTCGTTCCCTCAGTGGGCTTCAGAGTTGTTGGTTTGGCCGTAGTCTTCTCCGTTGTTCCCTCAGTGGGCTTCAGAGTCGTTGGCTTGGCCGTTGTTCCCTCAGTGGGCTTCAGAGTTGTTGGCTTGGCCGTTGTTCCCTCAGTGGGCTTCAGAGTTGTTGGCTTGGCCGTTGTTCCCTCAGTGGGCTTCAGAGTTGTTGGCTTGGCCGTTGTTCCCTCAGTGGGCTTCAGAGTTGTTGGTTTGGCCGTAGTCTTCTCCGTTGTTCCCTCAGTGGGCTTCAGAGTTGTTGGCTTGGCCGTTGTTCCCTCAGTGGGCTTCAGAGTTGTTGGTTTGGCCGTAGTCTTCTCCGTTGTTCCCTCAGTGGGCTTCAGAGTTGTTGGCTTGGCCGTTGTTCCCTCAGTGGGCTTCAGAGTTGTTGGCTTGGCCGTTGTTCCCTCCGTGGGCTTCAGAGTTGTTGGCTTGGCCGTTGTTCCCTCAGTGGGCTTCAGAGTTGTTGGTTTGGCCGTAGTCTTCTCCGTTGTTCCCTCAGTGGGCTTCAGAGTTGTTGGCTTGGCCGTTGTTCCCTCAGTGGGCTTCAAAGTCGTTGGCTTGGCCGTTGTTCCCTCAGTGGGCTTCAGAGTTGTTGGTTTACCCGTAGTCTTCTCCGTTGTTCCCTCAGTGGGCTTCAGAGTTGTTGGCTTGGCCGTTGTTCCCTCAGTGGGCTTCAGAGTTGTTGGTTTGGCCGTAGTCTTCTCCGTTGTTCCCTCAGTGGGCTTCAGAGTTGTTGGCTTGGCCGTTGTTCCCTCAGTGGGCTTCAGAGTTGTTGGTTTGGCCGTAGTCTTCTCCGTTGTTCCCTCAGTGGGCTTCAAAGTCGTTGGCTTGGCCGTTGTTCCCTCAGTGGGCTTCAGAGTTGTTGGTTTGGCCGTAGTCTTCTCCGTTGTTCCCTCAGTGGGCTTCAGAGTTGTTGGCTTGGCCGTTGTTCCCTCAGTGGGCTTCAGAGTTGTTGGCTTGGCCGTTGTTCCCTCAGTGGGCTTCAGAGTTGTTGGTTTGGCCGTAGTCTTCTCCGTTGTTCCCTCAGTGGGCTTCAGAGTTGTTGGCTTGGCCGTTGTTCCCTCAGTGGGCTTCAGAGTTGTTGGTTTGGCCGTAGTCTTCTCCGTTGTTCCCTCAGTGGGCTTCAGAGTTGTTGGCTTGGCCGTTGTTCCCTCAGTGGGCTTCAGAGTTGTTGGCTTGGCCGTTGTTCCCTCCGTGGGCTTCAGAGTTGTTGGCTTGGCCGTTGTTCCCTCAGTGGGCTTCAGAGTTGTTGGTTTGGCCGTAGTCTTCTCCGTTGTTCCCTCAGTGGGCTTCAGAGTTGTTGGCTTGGCCGTTGTTCCCTCAGTGGGCTTCAGAGTTGTTGGTTTGGCCGTAGTCTTCTCCGTTGTTCCCTCAGTGGGCTTCAAAGTCGTTGGCTTGGCCGTTGTTCCCTCAGTGGGCTTCAGAGTTGTTGGTTTGGCCGTAGTCTTCTCCGTTGTTCCCTCAGTGGGCTTCAGAGTTGTTGGCTTGGCCGTTGTTCCCTCAGTGGGCTTCAGAGTTGTTGGCTTGGCCGTTGTTCCCTCAGTGGGCTTCAGAGTTGTTGGTTTGGCCGTAGTCTTCTCCGTTGTTCCCTCAGTGGGCTTCAGAGTTGTTGGCTTGGCCGTTGTTCCCTCAGTGGGCTTCAGAGTTGTTGGTTTGGCCGTAGTCTTCTCCGTTGTTCCCTCAGTGGGCTTCAGAGTTGTTGGCTTGGCCGTTGTTCCCTCCGTGGGCTTCACAGTTGTTGGCTTGGCCGTTGTTCCCTCAGTGGGCTTCAGAGTTGTTGGTTTGGCCGTAGTCTTCTCCGTTGTTCCCTCAGTGGGCTTCAGAGTTGTTGGCTTGGCCGTTGTTCCCTCAGTGGGCTTCAGAGTTGTTGGTTTGGCCGTAGTCTTCTCCGTTGTTCCCTCAGTGGGCTTCAGAGTTGTTGGCTTGGCCGTTGTTCCCTCAGTGGGCTTCAGAGTTGTTGGTTTGGCCGTAGTCTTCTCCGTTGTTCCCTCAGTGGGCTTCAGAGTTGTTGGCTTGGCCGTTGTTCCCTCAGTGGGCTTCAGAGTTGTTGGTTTGGCCGTAGTCTTCTCCGTTGTTCCCTCAGTGGGCTTCAAAGTCGTTGGCTTGGCCGTTGTTCCCTCAGTGGGCTTCAGAGTTGTTGGTTTGGCCGTAGTCTTCTCCGTTGTTCCCTCAGTGGGCTTCAGAGTTGTTGGCTTGGCCGTTGTTCCCTCAGTGGGCTTCAGAGTTGTTGGTTTGGCCGTAGTCTTCTCCGTTGTTCCCTCAGTGGGCTTCAGAGTTGTTGGCTTGGCCGTTGTTCCCTCAGTGGGCTTCAGAGTTGTTGGTTTGGCCGTAGTCTTCTCCGTTGTTCCCTCAGTGGGCTTCAAAGTCGTTGGCTTGGCCGTTGTTCCCTCAGTGGGCTTCAGAGTTGTTGGTTTGGCCGTAGTCTTCTCCGTTGTTCCCTCAGTGGGCTTCAGAGTTGTTGGCTTGGCCGTTGTTCCCTCAGTGGGCTTCAGAGTTGTTGGCTTGGCCGTTGTTCCCTCAGTGGGCTTCAGAGTTGTTGGTTTGGCCGTAGTCTTCTCCGTTGTTCCCTCAGTGGGCTTCAGAGTTGTTGGCTTGGCCGTTGTTCCCTCAGTGGGCTTCAGAGTTGTTGGTTTGGCCGTAGTCTTCTCCGTTGTTCCCTCAGTGGGCTTCAGAGTCGTTGGCTTGGCCGTTGTTCCCTCAGTGGGCTTCAGAGTTGTTGGTTTGGCCGTAGTCTTCTCCGTTGTTCCCTCAGTGGGCTTCAGAGTTGTTGGCTTGGCCGTTGTTCCCTCAGTGGGCTTCAGAGTTGTTGGCTTGGCCGTTGTTCCCTCAGTGGGCTTCAGAGTTGTTGGCTTGGCCGTCGTTCCCTCAGTGGGCTTCAGAGTTGTTGGTTTGGCCGTAGTCTTCTCCGTTGTTCCCTCAGTGGGCTTCAGAGTCGTTGGCTTGGCCGTTGTTCCCTCAGTGGGCTTCAGAGTTGTTGGCTTGGCCGTTGTTCCCTCAGTGGGCTTCAGAGTTGTTGGTTTGGCCGTAGTCTTCTCCGTTGTTCCCTCAGTGGGCTTCAGAGTTGTTGGCTTGGCCGTTGTTCCCTCAGTGGGCTTCAGAGTTGTTGGCTTGGCCGTTGTTCCCTCAGTGGGCTTCAGAGTTGTTGGTTTGGCCGTAGTCTTCTCCGTTGTTCCCTCAGTGGGCTTCAGAGTTGTTGGTTTGGCCGTAGTCTTCTCCGTTGTTCCCTCAGTGGGCTTCAGAGTTGTTGGCTTGGCCGTTGTTCCCTCAGTGGGCTTCAGAGTTGTTGGTTTGGCCGTAGTCTTCTCCGTTGTTCCCTCAGTGGGCTTCAGAGTTGTTGGCTTGGCCGTTGTTCCCTCAGTGGGCTTCAGAGTTGTTGGTTTGGCCGTAGTCTTCTCCGTTGTTCCCTCAGTGGGCTTCAGAGTCGTTGGCTTGGCCGTTGTTCCCTCAGTGGGCTTCAGAGTTGTTGGCTTGGCCGTTGTTCCCTCAGTGGGCTTCAGAGTTGTTGGTTTGGCCGTAGTCTTCTCCGTTGTTCCCTCAGTGGGCTTCAGAGTTGTTGGCTTGGCCGTTGTTCCCTCAGTGGGCTTCAGAGTTGTTGGCTTGGCCGTTGTTCCCTCAGTGGGCTTCAGAGTTGTTGGTTTGGCCGTAGTCTTCTCCGTTGTTCCCTCAGTGGGCTTCAGAGTTGTTGGCTTGGCCGTTGTTCCCTCAGTGGGCTTCAGAGTAGTTGGCTTGGCCGTTGTTCCCTCAGTGGGCTTCAGAGTTGTTGGCTTGGCCGTCGTTCCCTCAGTGGGCTTCAGAGTTGTTGGTTTGGCCGTAGTCTTCTCCGTTGTTCCCTCAGTGGGCTTCAGAGTCGTTGGCTTGGCCGTTGTTCCCTCAGTGGGCTTCAGAGTTGTTGGCTTGGCCGTTGTTCCCTCAGTGGGCTTCAGAGTTGTTGGCTTGGCCGTTGTTCCCTCAGTGGGCTTCAGAGTTGTTGGTTTGGCCGTAGTCTTCTCCGTTGTTCCCTCAGTGGGCTTCAGAGTTGTTGGCTTGGCCGTTGTTCCCTCAGTGGGCTTCAGAGTTGTTGGTTTGGCTGTAGTCTTCTCCGTTGTTCCCTCAGTGGGCTTCAGAGTTGTTGGCTTGGCCGTTGTTCCCTCAGTGGGCTTCAGAGTTGTTGGCTTGGCCGTTGTTCCCTCAGTGGGCTTCAGAGTTGTTGGCTTGGCCGTTGTTCCCTCAGTGGGCTTCAGAGTTGTTGGTTTGGCCGTAGTCTTCTCCGTTGTTCCCTCAGTGGGCTTCAGAGTCGTTGGCTTGGCCGTTGTTCCCTCAGTGGGCTTCAGAGTTGTTGGCTTGGCCGTTGTTCCCTCAGTGGGCTTCAGAGTTGTTGGCTTGGCCGTTGTTCCCTCAGTGGGCTTCAGAGTTGTTGGTTTGGCCGTAGTCTTCTCCGTTGTTCCCTCAGTGGGCTTCAGAGTTGTTGGCTTGGCCGTTGTTCCCTCAGTGGGCTTCAGAGTTGTTGGCTTGGCCGTTGTTCCCTCAGTGGGCTTTAGAGTTGTTGGTTTGGCCGTAGTCTTCTCCGTTGTTCCCTCAGTGGGCTTCAGAGTTGTTGGCTTGGCCGTTGTTCCCTCAGTGGGCTTCAGAGTTGTTGGTTTGGCCGTAGTCTTCTCCGTTGTTCCCTCAGTGGGCTTCAGAGTTGTTGGCTTGGCCGTTGTTCCCTCAGTGGGCTTCAGAGTTGTCGGCTTGGCCGTTGTTCCCTCAGTCGGCTTCAGAGTTGTTGGCTTGACCGTAGTCTTCTCCGTTGTTCCCTCAGTGGGCTTCAGAGTTGTTGGCTTGGCCGTTGTTCCCTCAGTGGGCTTCAGAGTTGTTGGCTTGGCCGTTGTTCCCTCAGTGGGCTTCAGAGTTGTTGGCTTGGCCGTCGTTCCCTCAGTGGGCTTCAGAGTTGTTGGTTTGGCCGTAGTCTTCTCCGTTGTTCCCTCAGTGGGCTTCAGAGTCGTTGGCTTGGCCGTTGTTCCCTCAGTGGGCTTCAGAGTTGTTGGCTTGACCGTAGTCTTCTCTGTTGTTCCCTCAGTGGGCTTCAGAGTTGTTGGCTTGGCCGTTGTTCCCTCAGTGGGCTTCAGAGTTGTTGGTTTGGCCGTAGTCTTCTCCGTTGTTCCCTCAGTGGGCTTCAGAGTCGTCGGCTTGGCCGTTGTTCCCTCAGTCGGCTTCAGAGTTGTTGGCTTGACCGTTGTTCCCTCAGTGGGCTTCAGAGTTGTTGGCTTGACCGTAGTCTTCTCTGTTGTATTCCAAGTTGTCCCGAATGTTGTTCCTATCGTTGTTTGCAGTGTTGGCTTTGGAGTGGTGGCCCTACTGGAGGCGGTGGTCTCGCCCCCACAATTGTGCGGAGTGGTGGTGGCATGTGGGCAGGGGGGCTTCGTGGGAGCCGGACTGGTTATGCGGTGCTCACAGGCCGGGGTGGTGGGATGGTCGGGACACGGGGGTGGTGGCGGCTTAAGTGTCGTGGTGCTGGTCTTATTGTTGCACGGATTGCGAAAGTGGAGGACTATCTCGTTGGGCTTTTGGCCCGGAACGATGCGGATGTGCGGGCCGAACATCGTGAATGCGGCCGTGGTGGCCGCCAGCAGGCAGATTACGAACAGTTGCATCTTGTCAACGTGCTGCTACCTGGTGGTTGTCCTTAAATGGCTGGTGGGTTGTCCTTTGTGGGCGGGCGGGTCAGAGTGCTGTGAACGCCCGAGCGACACCCTCGGTACTGAGCTAGCCAGCCCGCCCAAGGGCATATTTAAGCCGTAGTCAGGTCCCTAGTCTGTGCAAGAATTTGAATTCCGGACGGCGATCGTTCCGGCGGCGTCAACGGATGCACTGCTCTGCCCCTTGGCACGCACACCGCGAACCGTGCGTTTGCATAAGCCCCAGATTATCGGGCCACGGAGGGCGCACGTTCCCCCCGAAACCGAAACCGAGTTCGAACCCAAATCCAATCCATTCATTCATTGACCAGCCAATAGGGTTTATGGGTTTTTTTAAAACGTTCTGCAATTTCAACGATTTTTATTACGCTTCTCATCGAAAGGGAAGGGAGGTCGCATTGAATGGGGCTTCGTTTGGCTATAGCTATGTACTCGTAGTAATAACTTTAATATTAATTTGTGCTGACTTCTCTGCTTTTTGGCTAATCTCAAAATATCTTAATAGGCATCTCTTTCTATTTGGTGTCTGCTGTCTCTTTCTTGACCTTTCTATTTTTATTTTTATTTTTATTCTTCTACATCTACTAGTTGGTATAAACTTTTGGCTAGTTCGAATCGGTAGAATGTGATTTTTAGCTACTTAATCGCTTGTTTTTATTTTTTTTGGGCAAGTTACGAATCTCGAATGCTCGTCGTTTGGTGAGGCAGCGCGCTTATAAATTTGCACTATACGTAATGTACTCATTATACATATATATAATATATATTTCCTTTTATATATTTAAGCTATAACAAAGTTACCCAATGACTGATATCTAGCACGCAAACAACAACAACGGAACGTAAAACTAATCATTTTTTTAGTGCTAAACTATCGCTATATATCTATATATATATATATACTCGTTTTAAGAATTGTTAACCGTTAATTGTGTGAGGCCGATACATTTACAATACTTATTAGGCATATACAAAAAAGTTTCTAGGCCACTAGTTGTTGTTGATAATGATGCTTAATAGGCTCCAGCTCCACCTCCTCGGCGGAATTTGCGTGGGTTCTTTTTCTTGGGTATCCTGGGGTTCCTGGATTTCCTTGGCCACTGCTAGATCTCGTCATCGCTGGTCTGTGGACAAAGGACCTGCTCCTGCCACCAGTCGTGGACCTCGTAGACGGCATTTGCCTGGTTATTGAACGGCAGCAACTTGCCACTGCCCCCGATCATTTGGCTCATCATGGCCGAGGGACTTCCCAAGGCTCCACCTCCTCCTCCTCCCTGCTGATGATGACCATGCTGACCATGTCCATGCCCATAGCCATGGACACCTGCACTTATTGTCGGATAATGGAACTGCTGGCCCATTTCGCTGTTCAGTTGGGCAAAGAAACTGGACGATTTGCTGGCCTCTCCTCCTCCGCCGCCCCGCTGCTTGGCCAACTGCCCCAATTGGCCGGCATGTGGCAGGGTGGTCATCGAGTTCTTCTTCCTCTGCTGACTGCTGATATGCAGCCGCTCCTTGTCGCTCAGCGTCGAACGCTGCTGCGGATCACTGGAGGTGGGGGCCAGAAATTTCCGACCCGCCGAACTGCCCGTCGAATCGGAACGATTGAGGGCATAACCCCGCTTGCCCACCGTCATCACGTGACGGGCGGCGGGGGTTTGAACCGAAGGTGGAGGTCCCATGGCCACCACTGAACTGGTTCCCGTTCCAATTGCTCCGGAAGACGGGGTATCCTGCACCACCTGGACCGCTGCACTGCTGCTGCCGTCCTTCTCCTCGTTCTCCGTCGAACTGAAGGTCGGCGAGAAGGCATCGCTGGTGGGCAGCGGACAGGCGCCGGCCACCGCCCCACTGATCGTGCTGATCGCCGACTTGTCCGCCGCCCCGCCCAGCGGAGCCTTGTCCTCCTGGACATTCGGACGCATCACGGGCTGCTCGTTGGTGGCCCGCAGGCCGGCAATCAGCGAGTTCTGCTGCTTCTGCAAGTGGTTAAAGGGTTAAAAATGTATTTAAATATTTGAAAATCTTATTAAATTAATATTACTTAAAAATATGTATATTTAATAATAATAATATTAGAAATATTTCTAAAAAATTAAGAAATATCATTGGAAAATCATATTTTTAGTTACAATAATAAGAAATTAATATTACTTACAATTAAATTAATGTTATAATATTTAAGTGTAATATTATTTTTAAAATTTCTTTAAAGTTATTAAATATTATTTAATATTACCTAAAAATATATTTATTTAATAGTAATAATATTTTATTATATCAAAACTATTTCTTAAATAATTAATTATTGGAAAATCATATTTGAGTGACAATAAAAAAATTAATAATAAAGTATTTAATAGTTATAATATTTGTCAAATTTGCCTAGTTATTAATGAATACCAACTAAAAATATATTTATTTAATAGTAATAATAGTATAAATATTTCTTACATAATTAGTTATGGGAAAATAATGTTTTTAGTAACAATAAACAAAAATTAATAATTTTTAAAATTCTATTTATTCTACAATATTCAATAGTAATAATATTTGTTATATTTCCGAATTAATATTAAACTTACGCTGGCATTTTGGGCCCGTATCTTCTTAAGGCACCCCTCCAGCCAGGTGCGAATGGTCATCTTGGCCACCTCCTCCTCGACCAGGTACTCGAACTCCTCGCGCGCCAACAGCTCCTCCAGCTGCAGGGCCTTTCGAATGTCCACCGAGCGATAGCTCAGCATGCTGAAATGGATTGCAAAAATTGTAGGATCAAAAATCAAGGATCCAGGCTCACCCACTTGATGACATCATGGAAGGTCACATCCTCGCCGTTGTGCAGCTTGTCCAGCTCATAGCACATGTACTTGAATAGCAGACGATCCTTTTGCGGATCGCACTCGAGTCGTCCTTTGAGCAGGCGCAATATGAACTTCACCCGTCGCACGGGAATCACTCCTCGCTGATGGATGTCCACAATGTTCCAGGTGTTTTGGAAATTGCGTATATCCGCATACGAGAGCAGGGCGTCCTCTTCATTTGAGTAGAAGAGGGAAAAGTTCTCCATGATAATAGCTGTGGAGAGGAGGGAAAAGTTCAAATGAAACGTAAAAATATTACATAGTTATGATTATAATATAAAGTAAAATTTTTATAGTTGGAGTTTCTAACATTTAAATATGATCCATAGTATGGTCATGTAATAAATGTTTCATAATTAGAATTTCTAATATTTAAACAGAGATTAGCAGAGATTTCTACGGCACTTCTCCTTATATAGATGGTTAGTTCTTACAGTTTTTGAACTATCCCACTAACCCATAAGATAAACCTACCCACAAGCAAGTTGAGCACTATGTATGTGATGATCACGTAGAAGGTGCAGAAGTATATCAGGCTGGCGGTAAAGTTGCCGCAGTCCGTCTCCCAGTAGTTGTTGCCGAGGGTGCAGTACGGCGGCTGGACCATGCAGTCGTGCATGATCTTGTTCCAATCCTCGCCGGTGACGATCCGGAAAAGCATCGCCACCCCGGTGACGGGTGAACCGAAATTGGCCCTGCGACCGATGCCCTCGCCGTATTTGACCGTTCCTAAAATGAGAATCGGGCGGAATGGGAGAGGTCAATTAGGGTTAGATCCCCCCGATAAATCGTTGGCTCTGGCTTTGGAATTTTTAGGTATTTTAGGTATTTCTTTTGGACACCCGAAGCTCACCGAACAGAATCGTCCCGGCCAGCGCATAGAAGAAGACTAGCAGAAACATGCCAAAGATAATGAAGAAGGACTTGCATACAGACACGCCCACGGTCAACATGAGCATCTTCAGTGTGGTGTGCTTGCCGGTGATGGTGAAGAAGCGCAGGATGACCACCATGAAGCCGAAGAAGTAGGACAGATCGTTCTGTCAGAGATTAGAGGTCAGAGGTCAGTGTTCAGTGGGGTAGTTGGTTTTGTTGGGTTATCGGGTTGTTTAGTGTTGTTAGGTTGTTGGGTTGTTGGGTGGTTGGATAGTGGTGTTGTTAGGTTGTTGGGTTGCTTAGTAGTGTTATTAGGTTGTTGGGTTGTTGAGTTGTTGGATGGTTGTTTAGTGGGGTTGTTGGGTTATTATTGGTTTATTGGGTATTCAGGTTGTTTGGTTTGACAACAACAGCAGTAGTAGTAGACAACTTACCCGCAGAATGGTCTGCAATATAATCCAAATCACACCGGCAACTGTGACGAGTAGGTCATAGCGATTGCGCCTAGATTGCCAATAGCCGCGCGGTGTAAAGGCAATGTTCTTCATCACCACCTCAACCACAAAGACAAAGGTCAAAACCGCACTGACGATCACCAGGCGTTCCGTATGCACCTCTCCCTTGATCCACTGCATAAGACAATTGAGACAAGAGACTATGACGATGGGGTATATCGCTCCGAATCGAGAGCTCCAAGCTAGCTAATCTCTAAGCGCTAAGCTCTAAGCTACATTTACAGTTTTCAATTCATAACTCCAAACATTCATTATCTTGCTATGTTATTCGCAGTATATCGCTATTATTGTCTATTATTTGCGATTTTAGTGGGTCAATAGCCACGTTTTCTATATGTATTGCATTTGTAGAAACGTGCTGGCATGCAGTTTTTATGACTTTGGATGTAAGACGGTTATATATCAAAGTCAAAAGCATATTTCTGGGCGGCCTGCTTATATCACAAATAAATCTTAAAAGTATGCGATTCTAATTTTAAGGGTTTGTGAGCTTTACGTATTTCAGAAAATTTTTGGTTAACCCATTATTAAAGGAGGTTTTTTAGGTGAAGGATCCCGAAAAATATTAAAAAAATTAAATAACAAACCAATAATTTACAACTAAATGGTAATTTATCTTTACTATAAAACTTTCCTTTTTCGGAAGTATTTAATTTAATAATTAAATTACCCTTTCTTTAAGTTCTCAATTTCAGAAACA